CAAATTTGATTATGGTAATGTGAAAATGGCACCTGGGTACAGGATAGAAACCTTATTATCATCTCTTCTGGAAAAAAAGGAAAGGAAAGGAAAAAGGAAAGGAAAAAGGAAAGGAAAAGGAAAAGGAAAAGGAAAAGGAAAAGGAAAAGGAAAAGGAAAAGGAAAAGGGGAAAAAGGAAAAAGGAAAAAGGAAAAGGAAAAAGAGACAAAGCAGGGAGGGCTCAGCCCTTATCCATTCTGTGGGGAATAACCATTCAGCACTCACACAGCTCTGAACTCAGGAGATGCTGCCTTCTGTCCAGCCATATATACGGGTTTTAGGCAGCGGATGAGACCACTTTGAGAAACATTTATGGGAGGGAACACAGGACACTACTGTTGGCTTGTTATAGAAGGTATAGGGAGGAGATGAGAATATTGTCAGTAGGCTTAAGGGACATAAACATGGACCTGAAAATGTTGTGTATGCAGCTGCTGACGGAAGGACAATGTGGCATTTTCAATAACAACAACAAAAAAGAGTTCCTGCAATGTCTATTAAACTTCTGGAAGTCATTGTTGAAGGATATTATGGATGTTGAAATGGGCTCAAGAGACAACCGAATGAGGCAGAGACATGAAACTCAAGAGACACAGAAGAGCAGTCCTTTGAGGGTTACTACAATGACAAAATCACACAGAGTTTAGAAACTTCCTGCAGCTAAAAATAATTGAAAGCTGAGACGCTATTCATGGAGAGTAACACATATGATTTCTATATGCAGATACTTAACAAAAATTAAGAGAAGGGAAATCCTGGAGACAGGATACTGCATTAGATGAGAGCCGCTGGACTGATTTCCTATGGCTGTTCTTAATTGGTGGAAAATTTAAGCGAGGGTATTGAGGATATTGGGGATGGGAAGGGGAGCTGAAGTTATTTTAGTAAGTGAATGCAGGTGATGTAGAGCACAAATAAATAAGAAGCAACACTTTATTAGTTTTACTGCCAAAGAAAAAATAATTAAAAGCAACTAATAATAGATTAATAAAATGAAAAGCATTGGGAACTGCGTTGAGATGATGCTGGGATAGTGATACCAACTGAATATTTCATCATAACGATGCCAAGAAAGGTATTACAATAATTCAAGCATTATGATGCAATTATATCTTTGGACAAAGGTTCGGTAGGGTTTTGGTGATCTGTAAGTGTAAGTAATTCTTCACAGTCATTAACCCCCACTTCCTAGTGGATCTGCTTGCACTGAAAGGCCAGGATCCCCCCTGGCATATTCCACCAAACACAGAGGAGGTTATAGCACCAACTGCTGCTCTGTTCCAGCACTGTGCTGGTGAAAGAGAAAAGCACTGCCACCCGAGGGGCTGGGACAGGGACCCCCTCAGTATCGTCCATGCAGTGCCACTGCCACAGCATGAAGGAGGAGTGGAGTCAAGGGTAGGCAGAGGCAGAGGCAAAGGAGGGCTAGGCAGGGATAAAATGGCACCAGACCAGGCCAGGTGACAGCTGTGCAGAGAGAGGGGCAGGAAAATATTATAGATGTGACAAAATTATTGATACTTAATTTCATATTTTTAATACTGTATTTCAATACCACTTAGAACTGCTTTCCTACCATAGTATGGTATGAGTATATAATCCTTAACTACAGGCAACAAGAGAAGCTTTGCCTATAATACACAAAACCTTTTTCTTTCCACGTATTTTGTTTATTCCACAGAAAAAGAAAAAAAAAGAAAAATCTTGTACTGAAAAAAAGCATCTCCAAGAACAATATCTGTGCACTCAGCCATTCCAGATAAGCACCTGCATTAACTATATTTGGACAAATATATTAAAAACGGTTCAAAACAAACACACTTTTCTGGCTGAAGTTCATGACACTTTTCCACTAAAAGAATTTGGAAATAAACATTTTTTTGCAATTTCTTATAAGCGTGGCTTGTTAAAAAAAGGCTTACACCACTTTCTTAAAGTAGGGCAGAGAAATGAGAACAGTCCCGACTGAATAATTGGAATGAAACTTTAATTGGAGTTTCAAGATCCTGTGTACTGAAAAGAACTCCTGATCTCCAAAAGCTGGCAAAGTGTTCCTAGACTCACCGGTCTCTTAGCTTTACAAACCCTACAAAACTGAATAGCCACATCAGAAAGTTTTAAAATTGGCAATCTTGAGGTTCATGCATAACCACCAAGAAGCAAAGTTAATTTACCTTGTCCTGGTTTTGGCTGGGATAGTTAATTTTCTTCCTAGTAGCTGGTATAGTGCTGTCTTTTGGATTTAGTATGAGAATGATGTTGATAACACGCTGATGTTTCAGTTGTTGCTAAGTAGTGCTTACACTGAATCAAGGACTTCTCAGCTTCTCATGCTCTACCGACAGAGAAGGCTGGGGGGTCACAAGAAGCTGGGAGGGGGCACAGCCAGGACAGCTGACCCCAAAGGGCTATTCCATACCATATGACGTCATGCTCAGCATGTAAAGCTGGGGGAAGAAGAAGGAAGGGGAGGATGTTTGGAGTGATGGTGTTTGTCTTCCCAAGTAACCATGATGTATGATGGAGTTCTGCGTTCCTGGAGATGGCTGAACACCTGCCTGCCGATGGGAAGTAGTGAATGGATTCCTTGTTTTGCTTTGCTTGCACACGCAGCTTTTGCTTTACCTATGAAACTGTCTTTATCTCGACCCACGGGTTTTCTCACTTTTACTCTTCCCATTCTCTCCCCCATCCCACTGTGACAGGTGTGAGTGAGCGGCTGCGTGGTGCTTAGTTGCTGGCTGGGGTTAAACCACAAGCTAAAGTAACAAAGTCGCAGGATTTGGGGAAAATTGTAGACGGTTTCAACATGTAATGTGCAGATACACACATGTGCTTACTTCATTTCAAAATAAGTGTTCGTTTGTTCTTAAGGTTAACAGAAACTTCAATTATTTTGGAATCTTTTGTCTTTAATTCAGGACTGTTATGACTCCCATTTAACATATGGAGGGAAAGAAAGATTAAGTCAGTCATTTCCCGAGAGCTAGGGACTACAGAATTAGGTACAGTACACTAGACTTCAGCAATTCAAATAATAACACAGAAGGAAAATATACACACCTTATTCAGGGAGAAAACTGCAAACTGAAGTAAATGCTAATTTTTTAATTTTTTTTTTTGTGAAAAGAGCTCTGTTTTCCTTATTTCCTTAGAGAATTTTCCCATTCACTTTCAAATCAAACAGACTATACAGTGCATATTCTACCTTTTCTACCATACACTATAAAATCACAATTGTCATTACCTGGATTTTTTTCTTGTCTTATAATGACTATGGTAGGGAGTACACTTCTTGAGAAGTTTGCAAGGATCACCCCAATTGGTACAGATTATAAAAATACATCCAAAATAAACATAAAAATATTTCTCAATTGTTTTTCGTAATTACTTTTTCCATGGAAATAAGATTTTCACTGGATGTTTTTGTCTTTTAAAAACAGTGGCTTGTGATCTTTGAGCCCCCATTACAACAGGTGTTTAAAACACTAGAAATCCAGCAGCCGAAGTGCTTTATTTGTGAAGCTGTATGTGGAGAGGTTCGTCTAAGCCATCATCCCAGCATTTTTCAAGGAAAGTTTCCAGTTCCATTATGTGATCTCATTGTTTCTATTAACTATTTTAAATGCCTGTGCAAAGGCATATTTCTCCTATAAACTGAAACTGCTTTATTTTCTAGCTTGTCATGGTAGATTTCAAAGAACATACTACATGTTACATACAGTAACATTACTGCAATTTCAAACTAAATAAACTGCATATACAAATGTGGTATAATAACCAAACCAAAACCTGTATAATTTAAAATCTTATAAACTGAAATACTGCAGTCTAATCATAAAAAAAAATAAAGGCATACATAAATAATGGAAATAACATAAATAATTTTTTCTCTGTCTTTTCAGGTAAGTGATCAATTTGCTAAGCCTTTACTTTCAGGTGTTAAAAACCTTGAGAAGTCCATTCAAGTAAGTTCAAATAACTTCATGGCTCATATTTTCAAATAAAGTCCCGAGAATCATTATGAAGACATAAACCAATCAACCTGTTATTGTTTCACCTTGCAATTAAATCAACTGAGTTTGAGTTTGTTTACTTTATCAGAAATTAATCTACTTACAAAGGGACCTTCCCTTGGAGACTAAAAACATTTTGTGCCTTATGAGACCAAGTAAAAGCCAGGAGTGATTCAGCTGCTTAGTCACAGCTGACTGGTGTCATTTTGGTTTCCCTAGAGTATTTATCTGATATATCTCTATGGAGCTGGCAGATATCACACAGGACACTCTTCTGACTGGCAGCAGGAACCCAGACAAGATATTCTACGGTGCCTGTAATGGTACTAAACACTTAGCTTGAGGTACTTGAATTGCTCTATCACTTTGGCAAGCTCCAAATTTGCTGCTCTGTCCCATACTCCACACTTTAGTTTATCTGAAGTACTTTGTCTCCCAGGCAGTATATTAGGATTCTCAGTTCCCACGGATTCTTTTTGTTAGGCTTTCGCAAACAAGCTGAAAGCGCACAGAAGCTTTTGTGGAACTGTTTGCGAGGTGGCACATCCAATTCCTATTCTTTTTTTAATTACAAAACTGTGTTTGAGCTCTCCTTCCTTCCCCTCGCCCCCTAGGCACACGCCACACAGAATCCAGCCGTCCACTCAGTTTGCCCACAAACAGCCCAGTGACTAATTTTTCCCATATACTACCCAGAACTTTTAAGGCCCAACAAACATCTCTATAAGGTTTGAGAGTCACTTTTCCTGCACCTCCCTGGCACACACAGAATCCGCGCACTGCTGTTCCCGCTATGCTGTACTGCCCAGGTAAATTACAGCATCCCCCCGCCGCCCCTTCCCTCCCTCATCTCACAGGCCATTAGCTCGCAGCATCTCTTGCTTGCAAAATATCAATACCCAGAACGAGCTAGTGCCTGCCCTAAACCATCCCGATGTACTCACAGGGTCTGGGTGTCCTCTGGAAGGCTGGGAATGAAGTGGATGTCCCTGCAAGTGATTTTGTAGTCATCCCAGTTGGAACACTCGCAGAAGGCTGAAGGACACCTCTCTGTGCCCTGGCTGCACAGCACCAGCACCAGCAGCAACTGGAAGGCTACTGGGAGGCACAGCATCTTCGCCGCCCGCTCCCGCTCTGCCCCTCGCTTCTCCGAGGGGAAGGGAGGAGACACCAGAGCTGCAGGGGCAGGCGACGCTGCCCCGCCGGGAGAAGCTGCTCGGGAAAGGCGGCACCTTTGCTGGACAACGCTGCCTCCTCCCTAAGCGGGGACAGGAAAGATCTCAGCAAAGCCTGCGCGCCCTCTCCTTCGGGCAGGCTCCGTCTCCTCGCCGCGGCCCCCGCGCCCACCCCGCCGGCCATCGCTCCCGCCACACACGGACCTGGCCCCCCTGCTCCTCGGCACCCCTCCCGCGGGGTCCCCCGGGCCTGTTCCCTGGCAGCGCCCGTGCCCTGGCGCTCACCGGGGC